CGACTTGGTGGCTGCCACCCTTATCGGTGTGGTTGCCATATCCCCCTCAAAGGTTATCTTGATGCTCTGATTCCTGACCGGCTCCATTTCTTTACTCGTCTTTATTCTCCTTGCTTCGACATTCTCCTTCATCGAAGGGAACATCGATACATTTCACAGATCATCTGCCCACTTGACGTACTTGCGGTCGTCAAGCACGACAAGTCCCTCATCTATTGCCCGTTTGAGGTCCGGCCAACCCCTCTTGATATGATCTTCTCCTCTACAGTAGACGCATGAGTTCCTGGGAGTAGATGCCCTGTCGTCTGCGCCTCTAGAGATCGAACTCCTGGCCGCCTTGGGGTCAGGCGACTTGGGATATGGTTCTGATGAGACGCCATATCCCCCTCTCTCATTCCGACCGCGCAGATCGTTGCGCCGGTCTCCTCCAGACCCTCCTTGCTCATACCGCCCTCGCGAATCATTCCGGCGGTCCCCTGAGTCATATCGCCCTCGTGACTCGTCGCGTCGGTCCCCTCGGTTGTACCACCCCCGCGACTCGTCGCGCTGCTCTCTCGCATCTCCCCCTCGCTCAAACCGTCTGCGCAACCCATCTCGTCGTTCCCAGTCCCGATCTCCTCTTTCATACCTACCACCTCTGTAGCCATCTCGACCCGACCTCGCGTCTCTGTCGTCCTTATACCCGTCTCGGTCTGATCTCTCGTATCTGTCGTCCCTATATCCATCTCGGTCCGATCTCTCGTATCTGTCGCCCCTATATCCATCTCGTCGGCCCTGATCTGTCTCCCATCGGCCGCGAGAGTCGCCTCTACCCCGATCGGCCTCATAGAGAGGGCTTCACGGGTAATCATCCAGCCTCCTCGCTCGCGCAAACGGCTCGCGATCTCTGCGGTCTCGATCTATCTCATCGTCCCTATGTCGCCATGACTCATCGTCTCTCTCTCTTTCCCTCGTACGATAATCAGTCAGCGTCCGAGGATTTCTATCCTCAACACTCCTCCAGGAATCGTTGTTCCTACGATCCCAGCGAAGTGAATAGGGCCCTCCAGGTTTGTCCCGGTAGGCCGTGGCCCCTGTAGTGGTTACAATCTCTGTAACCTGTCTCGTCAATCCCTTCACCATGTCTCGTATCTCCTTCACTTCCTCAGCCATGACCTCATTCTTCTCCGACCAGGGATAGTCCTTGAAATTAGGACATCTATCCATGGCATACTCCTTGTAGAGAGAGAAGTTACATCTCCTCATCCCTCTCCACACCAAGTCCTTGTAATCGTCTGCCTCTGCCTTTATCGCGAGCTTTAGGACTTCTGGGAAATCAAGTCTGTCACGCGGAAGATCTCTAAGTATACTCTTTTGCCTACCTTTGGACAAGTGTCCGATGAAGATAGTACAGCGCTCGACCTCTGAGATCTTCCCCTTCTTCATCAGCACGTCAGAGATCTTCTGGAAACGCATCCCAAATGCCCGTACGCTCTCATCTTCATCTTGAGTCATTGTTTCAAGGTCCTTGATGGAATACTTATTACCCTCCAATTTGTAAAGCTCAACGAGGTTCTTCTTGTAAGTAGTCCATTTTTCATCCTTCGGTCGAGCTTCCTTAACTTCCCTACCGAGACTTAGGTCCACATTAAATAGGAAGTTCTCTATAATCTCTTCCT